AGAAGATCAGTTGGACCGATTATGTGAGAAATGAAGAAGTGTTATTTAGAGTCAGTGAGCAGAGGAATATCCTACATGAAATAAGAAAACAGAAGGCTAATTGGATTGGTCATATCTTACGCGGTAACTGCCTTCTAAAAGAAGTTATTGAAGGAAAGATAGAGGGGCGGAGAGAAATGACCAGAAGACGTAAGAAGATGCTGGATGATCTTGGGGACAGAAGAGGATATTTTCATTTTAAGGAGAATGCTCTAGATCACATCAAGTGGGGAAATGTTTTGGAAGAGACTGGACCTGTCGTCTTGAAAGATTACAGATGAATGAATGAATAGCTTGTAACTACAAATAACTTTAACAGTCTTGCTGATTTACACACTTCATCAGATGTCTTCTATCTTGCTAAAATTGTTGCACTGTATGTCAAAATTTCGTATCGCGTGTGAACGCTATATTTCCTGATTAAAATAAATTGATCTTAATTAGAAGAAATTAATTAACATCCCAATATTTTCCTTTGTGTCGTCGTCGTCCCTTCTCACTCCGTCTCAACTGGTCTCAACTATCACCACATTATGACAGGATCTGTATTATTGTTTTCCACTACAGAAGCTAAGTGCACGAAATAAATATATACAAACATGCCTTACTTCGGACGAATATACCAACTTAAGATGATGTGAGCAACTAAACAAACATACGTTTCCTCAACGTGCGCCTGTTAAGCTGGAAACCAGTTGCCTGCTTAAATTCGGCGACATTTCGAGGAAATTGCGGTTGCCAGTTTCCTTGTTGGGTCCCGCCCATGTCAGATCGTTCAGATGGAAAGGGTACTGGCAACTATGCGATACTTTTCGTGCATGTGTTGAACTATTCGCTTTGACTTAGAGTACAGATGTCACTAGGGCACTCGTCCGTTCTCTGTGTACTATGCTCAGCGATAGAGTTTCATGTGTATGTATATGTAAGATAACAGGGAGGTCATGTAATGACATTGAAATTGTGTTTGTTTATATGAGTGTATGTACATGTGCGGCATTCGTATGGTTCGTATGGATAACGTGACTAAGTAAAAGGAGTTTATGTTATGTGATTTATGACGTGCCGTCATTATGGCACAGAAAATACCAAGTTGCGATGTTATACTGAAAGTTGGAGATGTTAATTTTCCCTGTCATCGAAGGATTTTGGCAGAATGTAGCCCGTACTTCAAGGCTATGTTCGGGAACAATTTCATTGAAAGGGACAAAGCTGTTATTGAAATACAGGCTTGTAGATTTTATAGTTTATAATACACATTTTGTTATGATGGGGCCGTGAAGAATTTGATGAGAGATAATTCGACCATAAAAACTTTTCATGATATAAATTAAACCTTTATCTCATCCCTTCCAGTACTATATATCATAACGTAATCAGACTGACGCAAATTAGGGTTTATGAATATTTTAATCTTTGAATTTTTTTGTGTGTGGTAATCCTAATTTGAATTCAAAGGTGGTTCAACGAAACCCAGCATTTGACGGAAGCTGGTTAGGATGAAATAACTAAATGAGTCAGAAGAAACCCAGGTTGATAAATTATTTATGGACGGATATCAAATTGTTCTGTAGTTCATAATGTGAGGTATTGCAAAAGAACTACCCATTGCTAATTTCTAATCATGTGAAGATCCACTGCTTACTATCAAACTTGAAATAGGTAAAGAAGTGTTTCTAGGTTAGGAATGAGTTTTATCATGAAGATCTTTCTTCTGTTGTTCATGTAAAATTGTTGACTATAAAAACAACAGCAACACGTGTTTCTTGTATTATGATCTCATAATTAAAATTCCCAGCCCCCATGTATAGTCATTACTTGGTACTAGTTGTTTGATGTCCTACCTTCACTTGGTCTTTCAGTGATATATCTTGTTTGTAATTCAGTATTCCATATTTCTTTTCCTTTGTGATGTGACCTATCTGTTGTTTTGCCAGTGTTTTCTGTGGAGTTCTGTAAAATACCCCTGAGCTAGTCAGGGATGTTGTGTCCAACGGGGCTATTGAGGCCTAGCCCCACTTCATTTTTTGAGACTGAGAGTAATACAGAATGGCTCAAAAGCCATGTATGTATGTATTTATTTTGTCTCTATAGATCATTGTTACATGATTAGGCAAGACTTGCTCTGTAAATTTCTCAGCTAAACATAATTTTACCCAAAAATTAAATATTGAATATGGAAACAAAATTTTATTAGAGTCAAATGAGGTAAAATTCTTGGTAAATGATACAAACTCCGTCCTAAGTGCAAACAATATATATTTGTATGTCTTTGATCTTGTTCTTTCTACACTACATGTTTCGGCCTCTATCGGCCATCATCAGGTGTATACTCTTAACGTTGCTGCCACACTGAACCCAGTCTAAAACTTAACATTTAAAAACACAATGTCACATTCTTCGTATTATCAACATCTACATCGTTGATATGTGTCTGGTATGTAGATTATGTTGCACACGTCAAACCCGATATTCTTGTAGTAGCACTCTAAAAATCTTTAGTTATGATGTTTTTAAAACCTTTTAAAATTTTCTCTAAATTTTAAATTTAAAATTTAAAATTCTTAGGGTTACTCGCCCTATGTCTAAGTGCTGGAGCGGCTAGTTCTTGTTTTCACACTGTACAGGTGTTAT